GACAGTATATAGCATAAACCATCTTAATTTCTAGCAAAATTAAAATTATAAGTAGAGATAGGGCCGTATTGATAAAATCTTTGTACTCTAGAATGATCATAGGCCTATTTGCCAATTAAATAAGACTATATTTGATATGGCATTTTTTTTTACTTAATCGCTTTTAAATATTTTTTTGTAAAACTACAATCCAATCATTTATGGATTATGCCCCTGGTTTTTAATTAATTTATTTGAAGGGCCAAATTATTTTTACAGTTGATCTTGCGGGCCAAAAGATAATCTCAAAGTTGTACGCAACTTGTTATACTATATGAAAAATCATTACAAAACAAAAGTGGTGGAGCCAAGATTTGCCCGATGGCAGGGGAGGGGCGATGTCCCGGAACCTCTAAAGGGGACCAGGGGCGCCCAGGGCCCTAAAGCCCTGAAAATGTAGAGATTTCGAATGTTCGCACGGCCTCATATTCTGTAAAAGCAACATAGATTATTTTTTTCTTTTCCCTCCCAAAGGAATTGTGTTGATTCTCTGTCGGTTGGGAGGGCGGGCCGCCTCTCTCTCTGACCCCAACTGGAACCATAATTTAATATCAAAAATATATATATTCATCAAATGATTATTACATGTAAAACAATTTAAAAATTATTTTAATATTACAAAACTGTGGGGATTAATTAATTTAAATTAATGTGGGATTGATCTTTTACAAAGTAACTGGAGATTTCTTTATGAACTTAAAAATACGCCCCAGTATGTATAATCGCACATCAGAAGAATTGATTGATATTGTATTTAAAATTTTCCTAACATAAATAATTAAAGTAGACAGATACGTTTTTCTATAAAGTTATACGAATGGAGTCGGGAATAAATGATTTTCTGTACCTTAAGTTTTGGAAATTTCAATCTAAAACCAGACGTACTATGTAATTGTTAACCACGAAATATTTAATTTCAATAACCATGCCTTTATAAATTAAATGTGAAGTGAATGGATCTGGCTATCAATAATGTAGGCTTAATGTCCCCACTCAATTTGGGTCAAAACACGGTCAATCAATCAATCAATCAATCAATCAATCAATCAATCAATCAATCAATTAATCAATTATTGGATCCACTTTGATACAGTAGCACTCATACAAAATGCATGGTGCATACATGAGTAAAGAAACATACAAAAATAAAATAGGCCTGCATTAAATTACTAGCTATTGGTTCGGTTTCACAGTAAAGACGAGCGACGATCATCTGATAACCAAAAATACTAGTCTGGCGCCCTCTAGAGTTTTTATGTTTTTGTTGATGTAGTAACAACTGCACAATACTTACATGATACTGTATAGTAACTCCGTTACATTGTAGGCTGTACCATGTAATTGATAACGAAATAATTATTCTATGTTATTGTATTCTAGTTTAAACACTTTTTGAGTTTTTAATTATAAAAATAAAATATCATATACAAAACAAATTGTTATTCTAAACAAAATTATGAATACGTATCTAATGATAAAGAATAGACACATTTTGTCTGAAGTTTGTATAAGATGCTTTGAAATTTTTTTAATTAATCAATATAATATATAAGTATTTGTATTTGTTATAAAACTCTAATCAAAAGAAAGGCAGTTATGAGGTTTAAAATATAATATTTCGAAAAAATTATGATTCCGAACAGAGACGTGCCCATGGTAAGCCGGCCTTATCCAATGATAAAGAATAGGCAGATTTTGTCTGAAAATAGCATATAGGTTCAAAGCTTGGTAAAATCGTTAATTAGTCGTTAAAACATATATGTGTTTGGATTACTTTTAAAACTCTACTCAAGAGAAAGTCAAATATGATCTTGAAAATATAGCTTTTCCAAAAAAATATGATTCCGATCAGATAGGCCTACAGAATTTGTGTATCTATTAGGCAAATTTTGTCTGAAAGTAGTATATAGGTTAAAAGCTTGGTAAAATCGTTAATTAGTCGTTAAAACATATATGTGTTTGGATTACTTTTAAAACTCTAATCAAAAGAAAGTCAAATATGATCTTAAAAATATAGCTTTTCAAAAAAAATATGATTCCGAACAAATGGGATAACAGATTTTATGTATCTAATGATAAAGAATAGGGAATTTTCTCTGAAGTCAGGCCTAATGATAAAGAAAAATGTTAACTAGTGGATAAAACATATCATTGTCTGTATTCTTTTCAAACCTTTATACAAAAGAAATATATCTAGAGTGTTAAAAATACAAAATTCATAAAAAAATTATGATCTGAACAAAACCCTAAATGAACTAAAAAAATTTCAATGCAAAAGAATAGGGAAAAGCGTTCAGAAAAAAAATGCTAAAATTTACGATTTTAAACGATTTAGCTTTAAATTGTTAGTTAATTTGTAATAATATTTTAATATTTAATTGATTGTGATTATTTAATGTAATTATGATGTGATTAAGTTGTGTTTATATGTGATATTTTGTGTATGTGTGATAGTTGAATGTGTTTTGTTATCATCGTATTTTGTTGTTTTCGTAGTACGTCTGGCCGTTATTATATCTGATTGTGTTGTACAGCGCACCACCACGTGATGTCGTCGCTGAGAGTTTGAAATCAGCGACGGCAGAAACTGTGGACTACGAGGTGAGTAGAATTATGTATCATTACAATTACGACATCAACACACAAAATACAACAACACAGCATCTATACACAACATACCATACACCACTCTACATCAATTCTTACCTAACAACAACAATTTATTACACTTAAAAAATATTTTCATCATTTATCCACAATATAAATATGATATTTTATTGTATCTTACGATCAATATTGATCATTTATTGTTTAAATTTCCGCATCGTTAACGTGTAAAAATAACATTTCTTTACATTGCTTGGCTGAATGGCAGCAGTTCATCATGGGCCAAAAAAAAAAACTTGTCTAAAATTGCTGGAAATCAGGTTTACATAAAAAATTTCCATTCATGTTTGGTGTTGTTTTAGTCCACATTTAACACTGGATTGAATAGTTATACTTTTAATTAAATTTTCCATAAAAAATACAATACCTAATTGTTTGTTTTTTAAATGATGATTTTTAACATGTACAAAACATAGGGCGTCCATGTTGTGTGAAACAGCATAATGAATGTAAAAAAATTGGTTTATAGTTTGCTGAAAATCAGCTTTACATGAAAATTTCACAATCGTGTTTGATCTTGTTTTGATCTGTATTGAGCACTGAATTCAATAATTGCAATTTTAATTAGATACTCCATAAAATTAAATAACCTAAAAAATATTTTTTTTAAAGAGATGATGTGTTGTATTCTCTGTTTTCATATTCCTTGTTCATTGTGTAGGGCTCTGGTGAGTGTATTCTACATCACATTGCAACACGCGGCTATGCACAGGAAATGAGAGAATCTCTGATGATTTCTGCACGCAATGTCAATTTGCAAGACAAGGGGGTACGTATAGGAAACAACACATTATTCATTATAAACACTAAATGACAATTCACCATCTTCAAAGTTCTTAATCCATCATCACAAGCATTTATCACAATTTCATTATCATTAATTGTTAATAGCCAAGACTTATAATAAATAACAATAAATAATTAAATGATAACAATTCAAAAAATACTAATTTACATTTTTCGTGAAATATAGGCCTCATATGGTTTTAGTTTTTAATACTTCGACGGGTTTTTTTGTGGAGCCAATTCGATGCCCTACTGAGAGCTAGGCTAGGCCCAGACACATTATTTGAAACTTTTACGTGTTATTTAGGTCACAGACCTTGGCACTTGATTAAGGCCTGTCTGACGGTGACACTTGTCTATAGAAGGCTGCTGTGAAATGCAAGGCCTGGCTGGTGGAGTCGAGCTGCCTATGTCTTATGAATGATGTACATTACTATTATTATATAGGCATAGTATTAGTAGTAGTAGCCTCCTATTAAGTCTATAGGCCTAGCTCTAAATGTTTGTTTAGCATTAAAATACAGGAGGTCAACGCCAGACTATCCTAGGCTAGGCCTACCGTCTACTAGGCCAGGGTATATTAATACATTTAATTTGCTAATTTTTCTAATGTTAATAATGGTTCTATTTTATATCGTCTTTTTCGTATTGTTCTCCATGTTGTTGTGTCCATGGAATTAGTGAAGAAGAGCATTAATATTTTGTATTTAAATTTTACTGTTTAATTTTTAATTTTCCATGGTTAAAAAATATATATTATTATTATTTAATATTATTATTATTATTATTATTATTATTATTATTTAATATTATTATTGTTATTATTATTGTTATTATTATTATTATTATTATTATTATTATTTCTGATCCAATCTTCCATCACAGTAAACCTTGACGGCCCCCCCCTGTCTCCAGACAAGAACCCCTACTCCTCACTGAGTGGCCCTGGATATGACTATGAGACTTGCCCATCCAAACTTCTTTTGTTTTTCTACACACCCTACCCACCCTGGCACTGCCACGTCTCTCTGATGATTTCTGCTAGATTCAATTTAATTCAATTCAGTATTTAATTTCTTTCATATTGCCAGTGGGCCATCCACACAACATAATTACATGATAGAAATAAATCATGACAGAAAACAAGTGACAATGTAATATTGTCTACTAGAATGTCACTCCAATAATGCCTTATGACCAGCATACCCCACCCTACTGAAGTATACATCGCTGGTAAGGACATTCCACAAAGGTCCTAATGACATACCCCACCAAATATGATTGCTTAAATTACTATTTTACATTATTTGTATTACAATTTCTCTTAATTATATTGATTTATAGTCATTGAATGTTGATGTTAAATCACTTTTATTTCAATTCATATGAAATATATTCATACAAAAAATATTTCAATTTGCATAGCATGATACAAACAATAAAAAAATTAAAGTAATTACTGAATCTCCCGAGGTTACATCCTTAAAAGTGATGAACCGGGCGAGAGAGAATCAAGCAGAAAAAAATTACTTTTGTTTGTATTCCTACCAACTCATTCAGTTTAATTGTATTATTGTGCACTAGTATTTTATATCATTAATGTTTAAAATTTAAGAATAAGAGTGGATTTCCTTTGAATGTTGATTAATATGAGCTGTCATTTATTGATTCACTCTCTTTGTTTCCAATGTGTTACAGTATAAAGAGACTCCACTTCACAGGCTGTCAAAAGCCAAACATAAATTCAGAGATCACCTTAATATTGCAAGACTTCTTTTGGATGCCGGGGCTGATGTAAATATAAAGAATGAGGTAAAATACTGTATACAAGATATATAGGGGAGTAAATAATGTCATTCAAATTTGTATGAATATGTATGGTCACCAAATTGTTGCTATTAAAGAAGAAATACAATATGTTTTTGTGTATTTTGGAGATATCCCTACAGTATAAACATAGTAATATTAATAAAATACTAATAATTTATATTAATACATAAATTTTGAGTGTTTTAATAATTTTATGGTGATGATGCTTCCAATAATAATATTGTATCGGTTTGTTGTTTTCAATGTTTATCAATAATTGAATTGCCTTTTACTGTCTGTCCATGTCTTTCATTGTATGCGGCAGGCAAAAAGAATTGGTTTCATCACATGTTTGATTAATGATAATAAAGCAATCTTGAATCTTAAATATTTTATTAAATGAAGGTATTGCAGTTCCATTGGTGATGTGGAAGATAAAAATAAGACCAATTCAATAAAAAATTTGCTTACAGCTTGAGCAGTGGCTGATCTAGGATTAAAGAATGGAGGATGGCTAGGTAGTGTATACAGGTTGTTCATGGAGGCCTCGACCCCAGAACTTTCCACATTCTGAGGTCTGTTAATGATGTTGAAGTCTCATACAAATAAATAAAATAATTCTGGCTTTTCTGTTGACGGATAATATCAACAAGACTAGATGAAATTATTTGATAATATGATGATAATGATTACATAAACAGCAGCACAGTATCAGTAGTGGAGCCTAATATGAGAGAAGAGAGTCCATGGCTGGGGTGAATGAGGGTGGGAATGAGGTTTGCTTAATTGTAGGTTATTTGGTAAAATGTAAACCACTCCACAAAGCATCTTGAGTTTATAAATGTTAACTTTGTTTCTATTACTTGGTATAAAGGGATTGCTCTTGTCTAGGCGTATGTATTTTTGTGGGAAAGGTTATCCACCCTATTCACTTCTCCCCATCCTAGATCTATTCTTGCTTGAGTTATTTAAATAGCTGTTGTTGCTGCTTGATTGATTGACAAAGATTCTGAAGACCACTGGTACAGTAATATTAGCACAACAAGCGATTGTGTTGTTGGAATGGTCTTATAATCAATACTTATGATTGAATCTTTGCAAGATATAAAAGAAAATTGCACTGATATGTACGTATAATATTTCTTTTAGGATACTTCTTGTGATTATTTTTGCGTGATACTTTCTATGAAGTATTTTTTAAAGTAGAATGATCGATATTGATTTGTTTTAAATTTTATGTGTTATTATTTTTACAGGCCAATCAGACACCACGTGATCTCTATATAAAGAATAAATGTCAGAGGTATGATTCTACAAATAGAGAAAAACACAAGGAAGAAGTCTTGCAACTTCTGCAAGGTGAGCAGTTAATACAATTTAATCATTCATGTTATTGTTTATTAGGTTGTTCAGTGTAATTTTATTTCCTGCTTATATTAATTGGATAATAATTTATTATTATCCGCTGTAAATAATGTCTTGCAATCAAGCTCATTGTACATCACAGATGTTTACTCCTTGTGGGTCATCATCAATCCCATGTACCTGCTTTGTTATTTTATATCACCAAAGTTTTGTTGCACTGGAAAATTATACTAATACCATTATTTGCTTTCTTCCAAATGTTGTAATATTAATTTTATAAAATATTGATGATGATGATGATAATGGTGGCTGTGGCTATGGTGATGATGACAGTGATGATGGGCATGATATTATTTTATGATAATATTAGTAAGTCATGTTTTCAAATTATTTCACAATATCTAATTATATTTTTTTCAATTTTAGTTATAAACAACTATTTGAAATTTTATAATAATGAAGCGTTTTCCATATGATTGTGTTTTCTTTATTATTTTTTATTTTTTTAAAAGAATTTTATTTGTACTTAACCAACATATTTGAAAATTTCTCTATACTTTGTTGATAATTGATGAGCAACATTATCTTCTTGCCTATGTATATTAGGGATTGCAGTCCCAGAAGTAATTATGGCTAGAGGAGAAGCAGCTCTGAAGGTTTTTAATGAGGAGTTGGAAGATGGCAAAATCACAGTAAACCACGCACGATTAATGATGACTGGAAAGGAGGGCGTTGGAAAAACGTGTTTGGTAAAAACTCTGCTTGAAAAACCGTAAGTTTCTGAAGTATCTGTCAATGTATTTTGGTATAAATGTTGCCATATTACTCTTCTTTTTTAATACTCTTAAATGTTAATTGTATTTTATGTTCTTTTTATATATATTACAATACATTATGATGGCCACAGAAGTGGGTTATTCTCTGGACCTGGATGAAAACAATTATTGTTTCAAAATGTACAAATTTTCATTAGTCATACCTACTCCTCCATGTAAGCCACAGCCCAATCATCAATGAATCAATCAATTGCAAATTTATATGAAATCTATAATTCATACGAAGATACTTGCAATGCCCTCCTCAAAATCTGCCATTGCACTTATACTACAATATCCACTTTAACATAAAGGTAAAGGTAAAGGTAGGAGAATAACCCATAACTTGCTGCGTCATTGTGCTGAATTGCAAATGGGCGTGGTCTGTGACTACCTAGCAGCCGTGAAGAGGCGCTTCTTGGTAGATACATGTTCACATCATTCCACAACGACAGGGGCTGAAATGAACCATAACATCAGGGTAACCCCCTACTCCTCCAAAAGATGCAATGGGTTCTTTAAATGCACACGAGCCAGATGTATACACTGGACCTCCATTTTAAGTCCTTATCCGAGAAGACTTGGTTCTACCAACCGAACCATAAACGAGGAGCGGCTGGAACCAGCGCCGATGTTAAAGCTGTAGCTAGCGGCGCCCCTGCCTTACCGCTCGGCCACTCGACTCGTCCTACATACACAATTTGTAATGCTAAATTGTGTTAGACTGTTATTTCCACAGATTTAATGAAGCAGAACCATCAACCGATGGAATTGTTTTGACTACTGCTTTCCAAACTACTGGTGTTGGTTGTAAGTGGAAAGAAACTGAGGACATGGACGGTAAGACAAGAAACAATATAACTTTAAATCCTTTTGTTATTTGTTATCACTTGAGCTTTGATGAATTTCACTGTTATTTTAAATCTTTATAGAGTGTGAATGGATTAAGCTGATATATAATAATGAATTAGAAGGTAGAGTTGCTGAGAAATTAAAACTGAAAGGTAATCAAACAGAGGGAGTTGAATCGACACCTCCACCAGCACTAGAACCAGCACCTCAACCAGAACCTTCACCTCTACCAGCAGCAGAACCGGCACCTCAACCAGCACCAGAACCAGCACCTCTACCAGCACCTCAACCAGCACCTCTACCAGCACCTCTACCAGCACCTCTACCAGCACCAGCACACATGCCTAAAAGAACGAGAACCCAGAAATTAATTAGGCGTGTGTTCTCTCCATTCAGCAAAAAAAGGAGAAAAGGAAAATCATCTATCACACTAGAGGTAAGACAACCTGAGGCTGTATGTGTTTTTCACACATCATGAAACAAACTTAACTATAAAATGTGCAACTAATTTGTTTTTATTTTATTTTATTTCAACAATATTTTATGAGGGTGGTGAATCCAGCTGGAGCTAAACATTAGGGAGCCTCAATACATAACACAAGTAACAAAGGAAATATAAATGGTTAACAAAGAAATTAAAATGATAGAATAATATTAAAAACCAAGTAACAAAGGAAAAGAAATCATTACTACATATATATATATTATATAAATAAAATTTAAAATAAAATCAAATTGACTAAAAAAAAATTAAAAGAAGAATAATAATGGCAAAATAAAGAAAATAACGAAGTTAAAATTCAAACAAATTAAAAAAAAATACATATAAGTTTAGGGCCAGCCTGAAGAAAAAAAGAGATGTGGTGGGTGGGGGGAGACAGAGGGAAAAAATATTATATATAAACCACGGAAAGAGAGAGATAGCTTTTGAGGTTACATTTAAAGGATCAGATGCTTGTAGAATTTCAGCTTTTTAAAGGGAGTGAGTTAAAAAGCGAGGGGGCATTGAAGCTGAAACAAAGTTTAAACAATTCTAAGCAGGGCCTAGGAATAAGGAGATCACCTAAACAAGAACAGCTTACGAAAATACAAACTAACAACAGAAGAATAGAAAAACTGAAAACAAAAAAACCAAAGGTACATCCAAATATACTTACTGTAAACTTATCAAAATTATGTAGAAAGTATCCTGTTAAAAATTGGAAGAGTGGTGGTACTATTTTTTAATATACTTTATACAACAACTCCACTCCTTAATCTTCATAATGATACTTGGTTTATGTATTAGTTTTATGTAAATGATTATTACATATTAAATATGAAAGTGATTACTT